GTTTCACATTGTTGTGTTCCAGCCCCTCTGCCATCAACATTTTAGTGCTTAGAAGCCCAGGGTGGTATTTGCTTTTCCCCATGGCCCTGATACAATGCTGAGTACAGTCTAGCAGTTTGGCTAACACTCGAATTGATGTGTCATGGCTTGGGTGTTGTAGTACAGATAGCAAGATCATTATTCGTCCTCCCTATGACACTATTCCCAAACTAGAAGGGTATGCTTTGATTCAATGGCAACAAACAACTTCGCACATGGCAAGTATTCTTGATTTCCACAGCCCTGTAATCATGACAACGAAATCAGCACACCACCTCTTACTTAAACTAATAATTGCCCTTGAGAACAGAAGGAGCTACGGAGTTGTAATCTACTAACCTGCTTGCTGTGGCATTTCGCCCATGATATTTAGCCTACCACTTGGGTTATGTCAACATGCAGAGAAACAGCATGGCGTGCGCCAGTAGAGAGGCTAAGTGTCACGTCACGGAGCTGAATAAGACAGGCAGAGAGGAGGCTCTCACACAACGCTGGTTCGTGCGAGTGTGCACAGCGGCTGCTCACCAGCCGACCCCAGTGGGTTGTAACAATTCAGGCAGAAAAGCTGTTCCATGGCAGGGACTCAGTGAAGTTGGTCCCAGAGCTTGTTCTGTCTCTGTGTGTCCCGTCATTGACTCTCAGCTCTCCTCGTAGCCCAGTTCTGCTGTGTTGATCTGTCTAGCTGTACTGGCTCTCCTTGTGTCCTGGTCTGTGACTTGACTTCTCCATTTTCTGGCTCTGTGCTCCATCAGGCCTCACTCTGTATCACAGACCTCTTCAGCTTGACTCTCCTCTGATGGCACCAGCGGTAAGAACCCCCCAACCCCAAACCATAGGCGTCCAGATTCCAGGCATTATATTGTTAACAAGCCCTGTTTAGTGTGTCTGTTTTCTTGTGTGTGTGTGTGTGTGTGTGTGTGTGTGTGTGTGTGAGACCACTTCATCTCTTGTGACCTAAGGACCCTGCCACATTCTGGACCCCGGTCTTACTGGTGGGTGGTCCTTGCAGCTATTTTTGTTCAGATGTGCTGGATATCTTAGTCCTAGAGATGTCAAATACCACCTGGACCAGCAATTTCCTCTTCCCTGTAGTTAAATGGAATCCTCTGACATTAAGTGGGGAGAGGCTCCTAAAATCCTAAATATAGCTCTCCCAGACTGACTCATCTATATCATAACTTATGGTGGAAATCATGACATATGTTTTGGTGTAAGTAGTTTAGTTATTCTATTGGATGTCTCTAAACTCCTTATGTCCTTCCCTCATTATCAGAAAGTTGATGTTTGCAGTTACACAACATGTATATCCAATAAAGCATTTACATTCGTTCTCGGTCCCAAGCAAATTCTCCTTATTCTAAAGCCAAGAGTTTCCTTCACAGCAAATTTCCTGGTTGTTGGATTTACATTACTGGGAAGAGATTTAGAATTATAGCATATTAAAATTGGAAGTGATTCTTTTAGAGATTGTCAAGTCCAACCCCATATTGATGCAGTTGATGAAACTGAAGCCCAGGGAAGAGTGTGATGTGCCAGGAAAGGATTTAGAGGGAGCCGATCCCTTTCCCTTATCCACAACCTCTGCTCTCCCAGAAATCTCAAGGCCCATCAAACCTAAGCCCATTTAGCCAAGATCCCTTCAACAGACCCAGTGCGGTGTTGAAGTTTCCTAGATTTGCCATTTCTATGTTCTTTCTTTGAGTATTCTCATTCACAACAATGTCCCTAATTTCCATGAATGGCTGGCAATGCCCAGATTGGCATATCCTGCCCTGACCTCTCCACAGAACCCCTGCTCTCCACTTCTTCCTCCTTCCTCACTCCTTGATATATTTTGCTTTTTTTTTTTTTTTTTTTTTTTTTTTTGAGATGGAGTCTCGCTCTGTCGCCAGGCTGGAGTGCAGTGGCAGGATCTCAGCTCACTACAACCTCCGCCTCCCAGGTTCAAGTGATTCTCCTGCCTCAGCCTCCCGAGCAGCTGGAATTACAGGTGCACACCACCACACCCAGCTAATTTTTGTGTTTTTAGTAGAGATGAGGTTTCACCAAGTTGGTCAGGCTGGTCTTGATCTCTTGACCTCGTGATCTGCCCACCTCGGCCTCCCAAAGTGCTAGGATTACAGGCGTGAGCCACCATGCCTGGCCTATTTTGCATACTTTAAAGTTGGTCTTCCCTCACTGCACTCTACTTAGGAGACTATTAACATTGCCTCCACCTGATTGGAACCTCACCTACAACCCGGAAGGTTTATCATGAAATAGCTCCGGGGGATCTATCTAAAACACAAACCTGACGTGGCCTCTCCCTGCTTGATCAGTTCTCCTCCAGCAAGTGAGAATGCAGTCCTTGCTTTCAGCCAGGGCCCCTGGACTCATGGCTCTTTCTTCTCCGCTCATACCTTAGGTCCAGCTCCCTGCAACCCACGACTGTCTTCTACCTCCCTGCCTTGGCAAGCACTATTCCCTCTGCCTAGATACTTCAAGTTCCACTTCATTCTTGTCCTCTGCAAATTCATCCTGAAAAACTCCACTGGGCATCACCCAGTCTCTGCTGGCTCCCCTGCTCTTTCTGACCATTTTCCTGAGTTTTATCTTTAGGTGTGTTTGTGCACGAACGCATCCATGTGTCACACTGCATAATTTGTTATGGCATCGAGGGACTCTGGAAGCTTTGGAAAATTCCAAAGCCCCATCTCAAGAGCCTCATCTGGAGGTCATGGGTGGGAGGCGGTGTGTGGTAGACCAGAAGCCCTGACCACTAAACCTCCCTAG